ATATAGTTGTGCAGGGAAATTTGACACGAGGCGATCACTTTCACAATCACAGTGTGACTTCCTTTCGAATATACATACGATCGCAAGCAAGATCAAATCCGGACTTCAATTCACAAAACATACCTGCAATCACACCAAAGATTCAACATCGACAGACCATGCACTACACAGGGTCAACCTCAACCACTCTCTGCATTCACGCCCTTTGCCTTATTCACACAAACCTCACCCTTTTCCCAACCTTCAAGAAGAAAACACTCAATCTTTTATAAATGGCCATTTAATAAGAGTATGGGGAACAACCCAAAGAAGCATTTCAACCCACGGGGGCTAAGGCCTTAGGTTGAGTTGCGAGAATGAGTTGGAGTTAAGTTGTAAACTGACCTGTTATCAAAAGACAACGGAGGACGATCCTCGTAGGATCTAACTGAAACTAGGCATATCTTGAATCGAAGGAACCAAAGAGGGTCTGTAACACAGCACATGCCAGTCCCCAAACTATACTGAAGTTGATGGAGAATAAAACCCCATTTCACATTTCACTCCAACTTCTTATAAATTGTCAAAGTTTTTCCTTCCACATATAATCTAACTCCTTGAAACTAGAAAAATTTCGACAGCACTCGCTCTAGAGAAAGTGTTTTTTCATAATTTCTACTAAGCTCGATATAGGATTAAAGAATGACTTTTGACTTTACAGAGTCAAATTTTGTCCAACTCCCTGATTTAGTAAGAAATTTGGAAGCACTCCCGTTAGAAAAGTAGGCTTCCCAAATTTACACTAAGCCAGATATTAACTCAAAGACAAAACTTGAACTCTGCTTAGGCAAAATTCAACTAATCCAGATTTGTAAAAATTTTGGTAGCACTCCCTCTAGCAAAAGTGCCTTTCCAAAATTTGTACAAAGCTATATATAAATTCTAAAAATAATTTTGACTTCACGAAGTCAAATTTTGTCTAACTTCCTGATTTAGCGAAAATTTGGGCAACACTTCCCCTAGAAAAGTATGCTTCCCATATTTTCACTAAGTCAGATATGAGATTAAGACAAAGTCGAATTTGTAAAGACAAAAATTGACTAACTCATTGGATTTGTAGAAAATTTGGCAGCACTTCCCTTAGCGAAAGTGCCTTTCCAAAATTTATACAAAGTCAAATGTGAAAAGTAAACTGAACTTCGAAATGCAGAAATTGAACTAACTCATATAGCTCCAGCACACGACGAACATCTAAAGCAACTACCTATCAAAAGATAACTCAGACTAGGCTTACAATCAAACAAACACATACAACAATGATAAGTCTCTCACCAAAATCCCAAGTTGTCTTTCATCCAAGTAGTTGGTTGAACCTTCAAGTGATTAACCCTTTACCCCATCTTCAATAGGGCATTGAGTCAGGTCATTCATCTTTAGAAACAATGCTCAACCCTTTGCCTTAGTTATACACGAACATGTTGCACAACTACTTCTCTCTTCATTGGGCATATGTGTGACGAGCACGAGGCTGAGGGAGACAGGGAGAGCCGAGGGAGAGGGGAGAGAAAGGGAGAGAGTGAGAGCACACACACACACTCACTCACTCACTCACTCACTCGACACGACTCAGGGTCGGACGCAGACACAGTGGCAAGGACACAAAGTCGAAGTTTTGGATTTCGAATGCCGAAAACAGGAGCAAGTCCCATTGAGTACGAGTACAACAACTGAAACTGGTACGAGACTGGTCACCCGTACTGTACGGGGAACCGGTATAAGTGTTGGTGACACGTACGGTACCAGAGGGATCTCTGCAAAAGCCCCGAGGGCAGAACTGAAAAATGCGGTATTTGAAAGTGGCGCCCGAATTGTAGCATGGCGCCAGTTGTCCAACATCCGACAGTACCAAAGGAGGGGGTTGGAAATAGGGTGCCAGGCCAAAAACGGGATGTGGCAAAAACAGCAACAAAATAGACCAGGGGTCGAGCCCTAGCGGAGTCCGTAACACTATCCCCTCCCTCTGAAAGGCAACGTCCCGACTGCCAAAAACCTAAGGAAACAAAAAAGGAACTGTGAAGGACGGGACGGGGCCGATCACTGGTCCGAAAAGGAGAAGGGGAGTGATGCAAGTCACAGGGTATTCTGTCAGTTGTTCTGCACAGGTGAAGGTATGATGTAACTGGGTAGGTCTACAGGGAAGCTAAGAAATGTTCAGGGAACAGGGGATTTCTATTGATGTTCTACTGGGTAAGGGGAAACAATGTCCTGGAAAACAGGGAATTTCTATTGATGTTCTAGTGGGTAAGGGGAACAATGGTCAGGGAAACATGGAATTTCTATTGATGTTCGAGTAAGTAAGGGAAACAATGGTTAGGGGAACAGGGATTTTCTAATGATGTTCTACAGGGTTGTCAGGAAAAATGAAAGTGTTTGTTCAGGATGCAGGGGCTGGTATGTCCGAAGGAGTGGGAAGCCAAAATCTCATGTAGGAACAAAGTGTCCAAGTGTCTTGAAAGGGGATCATCAGCGGTCTTGATCAGGTCTTGGAGTAGGTGGTAGAAGCGGTCCTCAGCGGCTGCAACAGGTGGAAGTCCAAGAAGCGTAGCAGTAGTTCAAATATCCAAAGTCCAAGTGCTAGGGTGTGTCCGGTACACGAACTGCAATGAGGTTTGATTTGGAAGCAAGGAAGTTGCAGACTGATGCAAAGATCCATGTCACAGGTTGCTGCTCCAGTAAGTCCGCGAGTCGGGATGCCGGCCGATGAAACAACATGGTGGCCAAACCAGTTGTATAATCTCCATGATCAGTGAGGCAGCAGGCCATCATCCTCGTGCGTTTGCCATTAGATCCTTTATTGCCGGCATCACGCAGGTCCACAAGCATTGAACAAGGGAGACAAGGTAGTGGAGAGGACAGATGGGACAAGGCTAGGCGAGGGCAATGGCATATCAAACATCAAGAATCAGGGTCGAGGGGAGGGTGGGCTGGGTTCAAGCGTGTGTGTAGAGCAGGGTTGCCAGGTTGTAGCAGGGTTTTAAGCGAGGGTTTAGGGTTTATGCCAGGATATAGCTAGGATACAGGGTAGGCACGATCATAGGCACGAACAAGTTTCATGGCATTCTTGAGATTATCAAGGGGTTCCCATTTTGATTCTTCATCAGGGTATCCGGTCCATTGTACTTTGTATTCGGTGATTGGTTCCGAGTGATCTGATACTTGAGTTGTTTTTCGTCCTATGATTGACTCGACTATGAATTATGGGCCTGTTGGAAGCATGATTGGTGGAGGTCTAGGATAAGTGCGGTCAGCGAACTGGGGCGGGGATTCGTGGTATTCCTTGAGGTATTCTACGTGGAAGACTGGGTGGACGCGACGCATGTCAGGTGCAAGCATAAGTTTGTAATTCACGGGAGAGGTTTGTTCAATGATGGGGAAGGGACCGAGCCACTTGTTCGAGAGTTTCTTGGACAAGCCTTGTTCGGGTTCAAAGCGTTTGGCAGAAAGCCAGACTTTGTCCCCTACTTTGAATGACACGTCACGTCTGTGTTTTTTAGTCTTGTTGGCTTGTTGTTCTTGTGTTCTTTCAAGGGCTTCGATTGCTTCTCTGAGGAGTTTGTTCATTGTTGCTACCCATTCATTGAGAGAGGGGCAAGGGGTGGAGGGGCTGAGCTGCAAGGGAAGCAAGCAATCAGAGGGCAAGCGGGGATGGTAGCCAAGGTCGAGGTAGAAAGGGGACATGCCAGTGGAGGGCCAGACAACGTTGTTGTAGGCAATCTCGGCGGCTGTGAGCAATTGATCCCAGTCATGTTGGTGTGGATGACAATACTTCCGCAGAATTCTTTGGAGAGTATCGTTCATCTTCTCAGTCTGGCCATCGATCTGGGGGTGGAATGCAGTGCTATACTTGAGCATGGTTCCGTAGGCTTGGAAGAGGTGTTTCCAGAACTGTGATAGGAAGCGGGGATCACGGTCATTGATGATGTTCTCGGGGAGACCGTGGTGGCGAGCGACATGATCGAAGAAGAGTATGGCGATGTCTTTGGCATTGTGCGAGATGGTACAAGGAACGAAGGAGGCGTGTTTGGTCAGACGACAAACAATGACGTAGATGCAATCATGCCCACGGTCGGTCTTGGGGAGGCCGCACATGAAGTCCATGGAGATGGACTGCCACCGGTGGGTAGGGATGGGCAGTGATTGGAGCTTGTCGGGCTTGGCCCGGTTCGAGGGATTAACGGCCTGACAGGTGGGGCACGAGCGGATGCATGCTTTGACGTCGGCGAGTAGAGAAGGCCAATGGAAGTAGCGGGAGATGGTGTCGAAGGTTTTCTGGAAACCGAGGTGGCCAGCGGTCTTGCGTCGTGGTGCTCGGCCAACAGCTAGGTACGAAGACCACGTGCGTCAGGGATGCAAAGTCGGCGAGTGCCCTTGGTGTCAATGTAGAGTAGATTGTCATGGAGAGAGTAGTCAGGGACTGAGTCAAGGTCGGAGTTGGTAATAAATGGAAGCGAAGTCTGGGCAAGAGAGGTAACCTTGGGTGTAGCGGCGATGTAACGAGTGAAGAAGTTGAATGTGGGTCATGGCAGCGTAGACTTTCTCAGGGTGCTTGTGGTCGGGGCGGTGGGAGAGGGCATCAGCAACGCGGTTGCTTTTGTCGGGGGTGTGGCAGATGGTGAAGGTGAACTGGGCAAGGAAGTCTAGCCATCGGGCTTGGCGGGGGGTGATGTCTTTCTTGGTAAGGATGGAGGAGACGACTGTGTTGTCAGTGCGGATGGTGAAGTATTGCCCGTCGAGGTACGGGCGCCAGACTTTGAGGGCGTAGACCACGGCTAGGAGTTCCTTCTCGTTGGAGGGGTAATTCATCTCCGCGGGAAGAAGTTTCTTGCTAGCGAAGGCAATGGGGTGTTCGTCGGGTGGGGACTGTGAGTGAGTAGGGGAATCTTTGACAGAGGGGATCCCGGTGGGGTCAGGAGGGAAATGCAGGGACAGGACAACCCCAATGGCAAAGTCTAAGGCATCAGTGGTGACGAAGAAGTGGCGAGTGGGGTCAGCGATCTTGAGGGCGGGGGCGGTGGTGATGAGTTGCTTGAGTTTGTCAAAAGCGGCTTGGCGACGTTCAGTCCATGTGAAGGATTTGGTGGCGCGGGTGAGCTCATGGAGAGGGTAGGAGACGTCGGAGAAGTTTTGAATGAAGGGGCGGTAATAGTTGGTGAGTCCAATGAATGAACGAAGCTGGGTCAAGGTGGAGGGAGGTGGGAACTCGACGAGGGCGGAGACCTTTTTGGGGTCCATGCTGATGCCGTCGGCCGAGACAATGTGACCAAGGTATTCTATGCTAGGGGCAACAAATGTACACTTGTTGAGCTTGGCGTAGAACTTTTGTTCTCGAAGGATGGAGAGAACTTTGCGAAGGTGTTCGAGGTGGGATTCGAAGGTGGGGCTAAAGTCGAGGATATCATAAAGGTAGATCACGACACAAACTTCGAGGAGGTCGCGAAAGATGTGATTCATGGTGGAGTGGAATGTGGCGGGGGCATTGGTGAGTCCGAAGGGAATCACGAGGAATTCGTAGTGCCCGAAGCGAGAGCGAAAGGCGGTCTTGTGGGTGTCCTCCTCGCGAATGCGGATCTGGTGGAAGCCACTGCGGAGATCAATCTTGGTGAAATACTTGGCTCCACGGAGGCGATCAAGAAGCTCGGATATGCGAGGGAGTGGGTACTTGTTCTTGATCGTGATCCGGTTCAGGGCACGGTAGTCTGTGCACATGCGAAGTTCCGAGGTGTCGTTCTTCTTAACGAAGAGACAGCTGGTTCCGAAGGGGGAGGAGCTAGGCTTAATGAATCCTTTCTCAAGGAGTTCATTAAGTTGTTGCTTCATCTCTTCGGCCTCGGGGACGGAGAGCTGGTACGGGGGGTGACAAGGAGGAGGGTGGCCGGGCTCGAGATCAATGGTGTGGGATACACCACGATCGGGAGGTAGACCGGCGGGCAAGGACTTGAGGAAGACATCTTTGAATTCGGAGAGGAGGGCGGTGATGTGGGGATCAGAAGGAGGATCTTGGTCGGGTTTGTCCGTTGGAAGCAAGTCCTGGGGACACTCGCGGTCGATGACAAGGCAATAGTAAGCGGAGTCAGGGTGTTCGTGGGACATGTGGAGGAATTGATGTGGGGAGATGGGGGGTGGGGTGGAAGGGGGAAGAAGGTAGGGGATGTCAACGGGAGAGTCGGGAGGGTTGGTGAGGTGGACAAAGGAGGGGTGGAATGAGTAGGGCATGTAACGGTCAAGCCACGGGGTCCCTAGGACGATGTCGCACATAAGGTGCATGACATCAAAGGAGACCTGACTGCGAAGGGGGCCGACAGTCATGGTGGTCTCGGGGACCGTGCGATCGACGACGACGGTTGAGTCCCTATCCCCTAGGCGGATAGTGATCGGGGAGTCATAGTCGGTGGGAGGTAAGTCGGCTTTGTGGACACAGGCGTTGGTGATGAAGTTGTCGGTGGCGCCAATATCACGGAGGGCCCGAAACTTCACCGTCGATGCACCGAGGGAAACGAGAATGAACTTGAGTTGGAACTGTGCGGATCCGGCACAAGCAAAGGAGATCATAGTGTTGAGGCGGCATTGCTCGAGGCCTAGCCTAATGAGCCGATCATGCCGGGCTCGTTCCTCAACAAGATCTGTGAAAGTGGTGGCGGATGGGTTAGGGAGGAGGGTGGAAGAACACGTGGCAGTGGAGGGTTCATCCGACGGAATAGGGAACGTCGTCGGGAGGGGGGCAGGCGGAGTAGACTGCGACGCCTGGAGATTGTCCGGTGGGATGTGCGTCACCGGAGGAGGGGTTGGCAGACGAATGGTCGATGCCAAATGAGCCATCGGTGGGACGGAGGACGTCACCGATGGGTGGGCCGACAGACGCGGTGTCGATGCCGGGTCAATGTCCTGGGGACTGTGTTCATGATGAGGAGGGGTCCGCGCTTGCCGAGGGCAGTGATGCGGAGGTTGTGGGGCGAGTGGAGGTGGACTGGTAGGTGAATTGTGCGGTGTTGGGGCAATTGGATTGTTGGTGCCCCAATTGACGACAACGGAAGCAACCCCTCTCCTTAAATGCCTCCTTATCAGCTAGATCAAACCGGGTGTAAGGCTCGTTGCATGCGACGATAAATAATGTGCAGGGGCTGGCAGGTTCGGCGTTGACTTGGGGCACAGGGGTGGGCCGGATTGCACACCTTCAGACACGCTGCTCAACCAGATGCTCAGGACGTTGACACAAAGTGACAACTCAAGAAGGACACAGGGGGAGGGGGGATTCCGGTAACTGCTCGTGGTGGCACTTCTTAGACTAAACTGCCGTCCAGCATACATCTCAACAAGTAGGTTATTTTATTTTTGATTATTTAGTTGTTACCGACTTGTTAACAACTGACAGACAACTACAGATAGGTTAGTTCTTTTCCTTGCTGCATTGCAATCTGTGCAAGAGTAATCTAAAAATAGAATCAAACTTACCTGTAGGATCTGACACTAGGTGATACCTAACCACCTAACTATTTTTGTCCAGGCCGACCGAAGTTAGTTGTGTATCATAATCAGTTGTGCGTCATGCTAAGGTAGGATTCAGTGTGGATGCTAGTTTAGATCACACACACTGTAGCTCAAGAGTGATGCAAGCACTAGCGAGGAGGAGTTGTGAGTGGATGATCGTAGGACTACTCGTAGAACTGCTCTCAGTCAACCTTTGACTTTCCTAGAGTTAGGTTCAGGAGACGAGAGGAGACTACGGAGAGAGGCTAGAGAGAGAACAACGGCAAGAAGAGCGAGGGTCGCTGAGGATAGTGCCAGGTCTAGGATTTTAGCTAGCACCGGTACAACCATGGCCACTTCCTCTACCATGTTGCAGGCCTCTTCACAGGCCACTTCGTCAGGAGTCAGTCAGAGTGGTTCGCGGGTTTCCATTAGCCGGAGTGTTGGTGTGCAAGTCAGCCAGCAGACTCAACTCACGCTGGAGGATTATGAGATCCTCCAAGCAGAAGAACTTCAGGATGAGTTGCAGCGGCAGTTGGACGAAGCAGCAGAGAGGAGAAGGAGAGCTATATTGAGGAAAGCTAGACTAGGTAGTAGATCGCAGGAGCTAGGCAAGCTAGAAGCACTAGATGAATCAACACTTGACCTTGCGATGCAAGCACTGCGTAACTCGCTCCTGTGTGTGGCGGAGACACAGGTAGTTCAGCAGGAGGTGTTGGCTGAACTAGTGGCAGGCCAGAAACGAATTCTGCCTGCATTACAGGCTCCTCATCCATTGATGAGGCAGCCTCAGTTTGCTGTAGCTCCCCCACCGGGTGCGGGTCCATCAGTGACGCTGCCGCCGGTAGGGCCTTCATTCTCGCCTATGTTTGGCATGCCCCCTCCGGGTGGTTATGTAGCAACTAGTGGTCAGGTTCACAGAGTCTCAACCGTACCATCAACGACAGGGGTTACTACAGTCCCACTGTCAAGCCAGGCCCAGGTTAGTGTGCAGCAACTTGTTTCAGTGGCTATGCAGCCACTGCAGCAATCCCCTGGGCCAATGCAGCCTATGCAGTGGATGCCCAAAATACCCTTGCTGAGTCTTAAGCCCTTCTCCAGCGACAGGAAGAAGGACGAGGATTTGGACACCTGGGTAAGGACGGTGCCTACCTATGTGAGGCACAAACTTACCAGGCCAGAGTAGTGGCTGCCTCCTTTATAGAGGGGTCAGCAACCCGCTGGTTGAATGACCTAGTGCAGCAACAGGGCGACGATCAGAACTTTGATGCCTGGGCCCAGGCCCAGACATTGGAAGGGTTTGTACGGTCCGTGTATAATAGGTGGCATGATCCGCAAGGGGCTCAAAAGGCCACAGGCACAATGAACAATCTTTGTGCCAGAAGGTACAAAAATGTTAGAGAGCTCACAGACACCGTATAACGCCTGCTCGTGGTACCTGGTGTGCGCTATGACCAGCAGGTACTCCTTACGGATTACCTTAGATGTCTACCTTCGGAGGTAAGGACAAAGCTGGTAGATGATGCCTATGTCGACCAGCACACCTTTGCTTCATTCAGCTAGAAAGCCTTAGACATAGAGGCAAAGTTGGGATCTGCGCACCAGAGTTAGGGAGATGGTAGGAAGAAGAGACTACCCCAAGACTGGAAGAAGAAAGGTCAACTAATGTCGTTGACCATGATGGTCAGGCGACAAAAATTGACGACTTCCCAGACCTTGGGGAGGAGACAGAGCATGATGGGGCCAGCGAGGCTTCGGATGGGGGAGTCGTGGCACCCATCAAAGAAAAGGCTAGGGGGACCGGGAAGAAGAAGGTAGGCCGGTCTACGGGTCAGGGCGACCAAGGCACGCCCGCTTGGGTGAAACTTGGCTTAGAATATGAGGTGTGGAGGGACCGAGTCGCTAGGGGCACGTGCATGAACTGTGGAAACTATGGCCACACGTCCAGAACGTGTCGAGGCAAGAAAGTCCTAACGAGGGTAGCCTCCCCAACGGTGGTGGGACTATCTTCGAACCTTGGTGGTGCTTCTGCGAGCACTTCGCAGGGAAACACCTCAGGCCAGTAGGAGTTTTAACCGCTCTTACTCGCTCTGAAGCGGTAACGTTGCCCTCCCCACTTCAAGCGTTCGCCAGGGCTAGTGACCCACGTATCGCCCCGCAGACACATTTAGACCCACCGACGCTCTGTTCGAGAGATGTGTCTGAGGCCCTAGAAGAGTTAGAGACTGAGTGGTCAAGGACCCCAGAGACTCTTGGGGGATGATCAGTAGAGGTCCAAAGGGTGAACATTTCGTGGTAGAGGTTGATGTAGGTGGCCGAAGAGTTGGCGCCTTCGCAGACATGGGCTCTACACGAAACTTCATCAGTCGTGCTTGTGTGGATAGACTGCGCTTAGGGGACCAAGTGCAACGGCTTAGCAGAACTGTAGCTTCTACGCTAGCCAACAAGCACCAAATGTTGGTAAAAGACTATGTCAAGGACGTAGTCTGTACCTTCTCCTATGGAGGAGGGGAAGTGAGCCATAAAATCTCCTTCCTGGTTAGCGACGAACTGCCCTTTGACATGCTCCTAGGTATGTACTACCTCGAGGTCGCGCAACCGCAGTTTGACTGGGATAGAAAGGTGTTGGTTCACAATTTGCCCAATGGTAGATCTGTTAGATTGCAAAAGTTCAAAGCTCGCAGTCTGATAGAAAACGAAGGGTGCATGTGTGCATCATCTTTCTATAACTACTATAAGCAAAATCGCGAGGGCATGTATTTAGTCTTTGTCTTTGAGAAAGGAGAGGCCGTTAAAACACCCCCACAGATAGAATCAGTCGTCGCACAATATTCTGACCTTTTTTAGGAGCCCACAAGCGTGGTAGAAAGGGAGGTTGTCCATGCAATAGAGGTTGTCCCAGGTAGTAAGGTGCCTAGAGGACGAATCTATAGGATGTCTCCTGCTGAGTTGGATGAGCTCCGCCGCCAGCTCAAGGAGCTCACAGAGAAGGGATGGATTCGGCCTAGTACCTCCCCTTACGGCGCTCCAGTCTTATTCGTACCGAAGAAGGGAGGTACCCTGAGGATGTGCATTGACTATAGGGGCCTCAATGCCATCACCGTTAAGAACGCGGAGCCCCTACCCCGCATCGACAACCTACTGGATAGAGTGCAGGGATGCCGGTACTTTACTAAGATAGATCTAAAGTCCAGATACCATCAAATTGCTATTAGACCTGAGGACCAGCACAAAACCGCATTTCAGACCAGGTACGGTCTGTACAGTTTGTGGTGATGCCCTTCGGCCTATGCAATGCGCCTGGGACATTTTAGCACGCAATGAACAGGATCGTTCGTGATTACTTAGATAAGTTTATCGTCGTGTACCTCGACGATATCCTCATCTTTAGTAAGACTGTAGAGGAGCACGTTGAACACTTGAATATAGTGCTAGGTCTCCTAAGACAACACCAGTAGAAGGTTAACTTGGAGAAATGCGAGTTTGGTCGCACCAAGATCTTGTACTTGGGTCATGAAATTTCAGCAGATGGGTTGAGGCCAGACGATGCAAAGGTGGCCAGCATTCGTGACTGGCCCAGACCTCAGATTGTTACTGAGGTCAGATCGTTTTGGGGGATGACGGGCTATTACCGTCCGTTTGTGAAGAACTATAGTACTATAGCTTCCCCATTAACAGATCTAACTCGACTTGACACCCCTTGGGAATGGACAGAAGAGTGTGAGGCGGCCTTTAAGAAATTGAAGTATGCTTTAACACACTATGAAGTCCTCAAACTCCCGGATCCTGATCAGCCCTTTGTCGTGACCACAGACGCCAGCCAATATGGCATAGGCGCAGTTCTTGCGCAAAAGGAGGGGACCTATCGAGTATATGAGTAAAACGATGCCATCTCAGAAACTAGCCAGGTCCACTTATGAGTGTGAGCTCTATGCCCTGTATAGAGCGTTGGTACATTGGAGACACTATCTCCTTGGCAGATTCTTCTATGTGAGATCTGACCATGAGACCTTGCGCTGGATTTAGACAGTTTGTACTCTCTGATGCACTCAAGCGATGGATTCAAGTGATAGACATGTATGACTATCAACTTGATCCAATCAAGGGAGAGGTACAAAAAGGTAGTTGATGCATTGTCACGTCGGGCAGATTACCTGGGCGCACTAGTAATTGAATTTGGCATATCTAATGACTTGATCATTGGTGGAAGCCTATCAGCAAGATCCAGTTATGTCTGAGATCATCCGTAGATTCCAAGCAAAGGACAAAAAGACTTTGGACGAATTTACGATGGTAGACGGCTTGCTGTTTCTTAAGAAGGCGGGGAATAAAAGATTTCCTGGTAGTGAGTCCTTACGTAGTTTATTTTTAGGAGAATGTCATGATGCAACTGGCCATTTTGGCTATAGAAAGACATCAGCGAACTTAGTACAAAGATTTTGGTGGCCCTCTATGATGCAAGATGCAAAGAGATATGTTGAAACATGTCAGGTTTGCCGAAGGGACAAACCTAGGACTTAGGCTCCGCTTGGGTTGACTAAGCCCTTGCCGATTCCTGAAGGGCCGGGTCAGAGTGTATCCATGGACTTCATGGACACTCTTGTGACCAGCCGGTCTGGGAAAAGACACATATTTGTTATAGTGGATCGCTTTTCTAAATATGCCAGACTAATTGCCATGCCAGAAAATGCTCAAACTGACTACGTCATCAAACTCTTTATGGATAGCTGGGTACGTGACTTCGGTTTGCCTGCATCTATTGTTAGTGACAAAGATGTAAGATTCACCAGTGAACTGTGGCAATCAACCGCTGAAAAGATGGGCACAAAACTCCAAATGACATCAAGGAATCACCCTGAGTCAAATGGCCAAGCAGAACAGATGAATCGAGTAGTACAGCACCTGCTTAGACATTATGTCAAGCCAAGTCAAGATGACTGGGACGAGAAATTACCTCTCGTCGCCAGCTTGTATAACAACGTTGTGCACAGTACTACAGGAAAGCCTCCCAACCAACTGCATCTTGGTTGGAAACCCAAAACTGCACTTGACTTTCTGCTACCAGAAAGAGAACCCATTGCAGCACCTGGCAGCATAGAGTTTGCTGTCAAATATGAACAGACGCTGCAGCAAGCCGTTGAACATATCAAGAAGTCTCAGGATGCAATGATCGCATCTGAGAATAAGCACAGACGGCCCTCTAACTTTCAGGTAGGTGATAGAGTTTGGGTTAAGTCATCTGAACTAGGTCAGGAGTTAGGAATTTCACGAAAATGAATGCCACAGTACTTTGGGCCCTGGGAGATCTTGGACATTGTAGGGATCAACCGGATGGGCCTTCATACGTGATTCGCATTCCTGCGCACTTACGTACTTACCCTGTGTTCCATGCCTCCAAGTTGGCACCTTTCGCTGCCACTGATCAGTTTCCCTCAAGAAGATCAATGCTGCCCCCAACTATGGATGGTGAAGTGGATATTGACGAGATTGTGGAACATCAAGTGATGCCAGTTCCTCGACCATCAGGCAGAGGCCGCCCTCCTAAACCAAGAATGCAGTATCGTCTGAGATTCAAACATCATTTGGATCCTAAAGAAGATCGCTGGTTCACACGAGAGGAACTCATGAGAACAGCACCTCAGGTGATTGCAGACTACGAAAGAGAACTCAAAGGGAAGATGCCTGCAGATTGACAGACTTCTCAAAGGACTAACGAAGTAAAGGAGGAGGGAATGCGAGGATCTAAGTCCTCGGCAGGCCTGAGGGGCCCCTGTTACAAGAGTGCCCAAGGCGGGCCTAACATATCACAAGAGGCCCTCGGCTGTCAACTTCATATTTGGGGGTCCAGGCAGTTGCGACGCGTCAGTTGGTTGAGAGGAACCCAGGCCGAGCAACAAAGACATTTCCACGGCCTTCTGGGCTTTTCCAGAATGCAGGCCCTGGGCGAGAATCACAGCAGCATACACTGACAGTTGGGAGGCCCAACCGAAAGAGGCCCAGTAGCTGCACACAAGCGCAGCATCCTGGGGCCTACCGGAAGCTTCTGGGCCCAGGCCCAGCCCAGCCAGGCTGCGCGAGCAGGCCAGCTCTTTCCTATATGGAAAGAGCTCTACCCAGCCAGCCTCATTCAGTCACTCGCATGCTAGCGGCAGCGCTGCTGGAGCAAAGGCTCGTGGGCTGCTGCTGGCGCTGAGAGGCGAGGTGCAGCACGTGCGGTCGTGCAGGGAAGAAGGGCGCTGCTGAGGGCAGCGCCATAGCCCATCCACCATAGCTGGTGGGCTTGGACTACAGTGAGACGCAGGGGTGGTCTTCGGGTGTACAACAAAGGGAGACATGGGAGAGAGTCAAGGGAGAGAGAGAAGGATGATGATGATGATGATGATGATGATGATGATGATGATGATGATGATGTGAGGGCACATACCTGGTATTGGCGATGGTTCTGCATGGGCGACATCTTCAAGTACTTCGGGTGCTGCTGACATCAACAGTTGCATTGTCAATTAGTAGGCTAGTAGTAGCTGTGTAGGGAATAGGCTGGGCGCGGAGCGCCAGGTAGGGAGATAGGGACTGGATACATATGTTGGTGGTGGCGAGAGCAAGCTCTCATTGACATTGACTTTCAGTGCTACGATTCTCCATTGGTGTTATATTGGTGCAATGCTGCTTCCTGAACACTGTGTTACGATTTGGCTTTTAATGTGATTGTGCAATCTGAATATTGTCATCTCGCTTCAGTTCATTTTCCTTGCAGCTGCTCTTGTGACCAAAAACTAATTAATAGATATGATGGGAGACCTTTTTTTTTTTTTTTTTTTTTTAACAAACACCACCTGCATCAACGGATAGCAGTAATTTAATGCCACAAAAAAAAAAAAAAAAACAGATAGGAGTGATGATACACTCGTACCGGTCTTACAGGGGGATCCAGTCTATTGGTTGAAAGCTACACCTGCTGGAAAGTGGGTCCAGCGTCCCCTGATATACATTGTTGAATTGGGAAAGACATCACATACTGGGAACCGGGCCCAGCGTCCCTACTGCACTTTGCTGATAGTACCACTGCGATTGTCTTTTTTCTTCTAGGCAGATCATGCCTCTTCAATCTGCTTCAGGCCGCCAGACTCTCGTTCAAAGAGCTTCCAAAATGTCAGACCAAGCTGGTGCAGGTAGTCTGACTGCTTTGCCAGTTATCGAAACACAAGTTGGAGATGTATATCTGCTTATATTCTTGCTTTTTTCACTCTGCAACATTTCTAGTGGCACGATACTCTCCCTTAACTCCCCGTGCAGGCTGGGAACATGACCAGAAGATCCAGACCACCAACTTCTCCGAACGTGCCACAGCTGAAGTTGCAGAGAGTGGGGGATAGTGTCGAGCAGTGCACTGTTCCACACGCCACACATTGTAAAACCCTGTGATTGCCAGGTAGCCTGTCAGAACCTGGCTACTTGAACCACCAGCAAGTTTCTCGGCCTTTTTTCAACTTGTGGGGGTCGGCTGGAGCCAGCCATAAGGAGGCCCGTGACGGTTTGTTTTTGGGTGCATAAGGTGTTTCCAGACCAGGGAAAAAGTGGCTCGGAAGTACTGGTGGTTTAATTTGCATGACTGCTGGGACGCTGGCGTCCCCCTCTTACAGCTAACTCCAGTAATAGGGTGCACAATCCACAATGTCTACTCCTGGGGGATCGGCCATTACGCTGTCCCTCACCCTTTGCTCCACCTTTCGCTCCTTCAGATTCAACCTTCCCCTTCTTGACATCCCTATGAAACCTACCTCCTTTTTTTTTTTGAGGGTGTTGTAGAGGCCAGTTACGAGGCACACATTGATCGCCGCCAGTTCATTCCCGTCTAGAGACTGCTGCTGCTCTTTGCCACTCGTTACTGCCACTGCCGGTCCCACTGTTTTTTCTCTCTTTTTAAGCTGAGGTTTTTCTGGACAACCTGTAGCTCTCGGATGCTGGTGCTAAATCAGTCCTGAAAGTCTGAAAGTCTGAAAGTCTGAAAGGTGATACGGGCCTAGCCACATAGGCAACAAGTGTAGCAGTAAATGATCCTACGGGCAAGATCCTGCGGGCATCTCTTCACCTTTCCGCAATGCCTTTTCTTTTTTTCCTCCCCATATTAGAAGGATCAGAAAAGATTTCCTAAGATTGGCAAGATCCTATGGGTCTAGCCACATAGGCAACACCTGTAGCAGTAAATGATCAGGATAAGTTCGTATCTCTTCTAAACTCCAGAACAGTATCTTTTGTAAACTCCAGAATGTTGGGCAACAGCGACAATGAAGGATTTGATCTTTTTTTTTTTCTTTTTAACTAAGCTATACTCTTCTGTCAATTTTACCTCTCACTATCTACCTACCACAAGGATTTTCTTTCAAAAACATTAGGCAAAAAGAAAAGGGGATTTGCCAGTTCTTGCTCACTTTTTTTTTTTTTTTTTTTTTCTCACTTGAGAGATTAAGTTTTACTAATTACGCAGTTTCTCAGTGCGGGCAGGATGTTTGGCTGGGTGCCAAGGCCAGAGGCCTGTGGGACCTGTCGAAAATCCAAACTAGTCAGAAACGGCAGATGGAGAGGTATTCTAAAGTCAGGACCGGAATGGTCATTTAAACCGCTAGTACATGGCCCAAGCCTCGCAGGAAGTTTTTGTTGCCACAAGCAAAACTCGGAGGTGCCGCGCGGCCAGGCCCGCCGTTGAAAAAAAAAATTGGTGGCCTCCGAAGCTGTGTGGGTTTCATGCTGACACCCCCCGGCCGATATGTGGTGTAGGTGTACTGGTGCTTTAAACTACCGGTGTCAGGTGGCCACAAGCAGTGCGCCGCCTGAAATCTGGGGTTTTGGGTCTTAGGCTCAAAGACAAGTCCGTGTTTTGACGGTGCTCCGGGTTGACCAGGCAGCAAAAATT